GGCAGAGGAGCGGAGAGTGGCAGAGATCGCAGGACACGCGGAGTAGGAGCGGTGGAGAGCGGAGGAGGGGCGGCGGAAGTCAGGGGGAGAGGGCGGAGGAAGCAGGGAGAAGTGTACTGACCTGTGTCTGCCATCTTCGATCGGCGTTCAGGCGTCGTTGATGCAGAACTCCAAACGGCCAACCACAAACCATGGCCAACCACAGGCGAGCGAGCGAGAGAGAGCCACAGCTTAAAGCACCAACAGCCAACCACAGGAGAGAGAGAAAGAGAGAGAGAGAGAGAGAGAGAGAGAGAGAGAGAGAGAGAGAGAGAGCTTCACAACAGGGCGCTTCACAACAGGGCGCACGACGCGCTTCACGACAACAGCAGAAGCTTCGACAACACCGAATACAACGGACCGAGGGCTCTGCACGACAACGGCCAGTCCAACAGGTGGCCCGACTTCGTGAACTCCGGAGTACCCCACGGGACTCGGCGCGTCTATCTGAACCGTCGGTCCAGACCGACGGCCTGGATCTTGGCGCGGTCCTAAGATCTGAAGAACGCATCTATACAGGCCGTCGGTCTGGTAGGACCCAACGGCCCAGATGGCAGATTTGTTACATGGTTCTGTCGATCTGGGCCGTGGGCTGGTAGGACCGACGACGGCCCAGATTTCAGATTTGTCACGTTAGCAATTTTAATAGTGCAGGGACTATTAGTGCCTGCAGCCCTCCAATGGCTGCTCCCTGCATCTCTTGTGTACTACTCTTCAGTCTTGCGTCTCTGGTCATGGCCTTGCAGAGTCTGGCTTCTGGTCTCGTTGTCTTGCATGTATCTCATCTTGTGAACTATGGCATGATCTTCCACTGTCTCTTTCATTTCTTTAGGTCGCACTCAAGGCCTCTCAAGGACTCCCAAGGGTCAGGGACTCCGACAACCTTGAATCCGGCCTTTGTCAGGAGCAGGCGATAACACCGAACGCCTTCCCAATGGCAGAAGGGGACAGTCCTATCTACCTGACAGCCCTCTTGAGAGTGGCTGAAGCCCCCCCCTCACACACACCATATATCCAACTTATTTAAAAAACCCTGCCTGACAGCCGGCCAGTCCAACAACCCACTGCACTCGGTCTGGGGACACCGATCCAAGCTTTGGAAGCGATGGGGGCACAACACCGGGACACACAACCATATCTCCCGCCTCCTCCCTCCTCCCTCTCCCCCCCCACAAATAAAAAGAACATGGCATTCCTTACATGAAACTTGGCCTCAATACAGATGCTGTGCGCACCTTTCTACTCAGACGCACATGGTGGCCAACTCAGTGGATGGCGTACTTTTACAATAGAAGGGTTTCAAATTGCCTTGTTGAAACACCCTGTTTCTTCCTTTCCGAAGTCCTAATTGGCACAGGTAGCTATCATTTATCGCCTAACTGCTCTCCATCTTCTGCAATAGCAGCATCCTATGATTGCCAGCGATGAGACCCCGTAGTTGCTGCTGAACTGCATGCAGGTGTGCTCTCACAACTTCCAACGAGGCCTGCAAAGCTACTGCTCATTTGAAAGTGTTGTAGAAGAGGTGATGAGGTCAGCATCATTGCTATAACATAGCCATTTCTGATGGACAAGCCTGGAGAAGGTGTTCAAGGATGTCCTTGCTCTGACACTGCTTTCCCTTTGCTGCTATTGACAACCTGGTTTCCTAGCACTACAAGTTGCAAATTCAGTTGCAAGGAAGCACTTCCATTCTTTGCAGAGAGCAAAGGCTTGTTGATTCTCCATGTATAATCCGGCGTCATGCTTAGTGAACTCGCGGACAAGAATGGGCCAGATCCATATTGACGCAAAAGATGCCACATACATCAGAGAGACAGTACAAGCCAGTGCCATACCAATGAGATGGTGCTGATGTGAGATGGAGAAAGACTTGAACCAATTCTTACCATTTGTATCACGATAAGTATGGTTACCCCCACCACTCGTCCACATTTGCTACTTGAATTGCATTTTATTTTTCAGTGCTGATGAATTTTCATCGACGCAGAATCTGTCATAGTGCTTCACATGCATACTGAATTTGCCGATTTTTCCATCATAAGGTTGATCTCCCTTAATTACCGAGTTGGCAATCCACCACTTTTGGAATCTGCAAGTCATAGATATATTGTCACATGACTACTAGCTTACCTGTGCAGCCTTTACAATCATCAAAAGAAAAGATCACACGCGCCTTCGAACTGCGCGCCCACACACTCTCTCCTTTCAGCCAAACATTTAGTCAGCGTAAGAGAAAATACAGCCGCGACTCACGTTGTGTACTCAATTTTCAAATCAAACTTATTTTCTATCACTTGCAAAAACCAGGGCGGATACCCTTGTAAGGGTATTCGCACCAACAGCGCGCCACTACCTGGGCCTGGGAATGCAAATTTGTGGCCGCCTCACTAAAAACGTTTGTTATTGTTACAACCCGAGGGCCTGTCGGCCCAGCATGGCACTACCGTGGCCTGGGGAGTACAAATTTGCACTGGTGCCGCCAAGCACTACCGGGGCCTAGGGAGAGCGGATTTGCGCAGGGCCCGGAGACCCTGGCCCCGTAATACCTCACGCGACACTACCAGGCCAGGGCCTACCGGCCCAGCAATCGTCTCCAAAACCATCAACACGCAATCTGGGCCGCGTGGCACAACACCAACGACAATGCAGATCGCGAGTTGATGACATTGAAAACGATCAGCAGCCAATCTGAACCGTCGCACGCCAAGGAAACGAAGGCCCCAGATCGGCTGATGGTCACACGCTATGAAATAGTGATTGTCATAACTGTAGTGATGAGTGCACGTTGTGAAACAAACGATAAAGATAAAACAAGACAAAGATGAGGGGTACACTGAAACCATTCATTCTTCTTTGAACTTCCCCTTTACGTGGCTCTCACATACAAGGCTCGCCATATTGGTAAAGTTGAGCGCGAGCTGCCCGGATCCCCAGTTGTATGCCGTCAGAAAGAGGGAGAGAAAAGGGGGAGGTGATAAACACAGGCAAGAGAAATGAAGGGAAGACAAAGAGAGAAAACAAGGGGAAGTAATGGAAAGCACGGAGTGTGGAAAGAAAGAAGATGGAGGCAAAGGAGAGGATAAGAGAAGCCTCAAGAATGAGTCTGTCGTTGACGACAGAGAGGACACCCATTGTAAGGATGAGCTGGATGGGCACATGGAAGACCTAGCTGAATAAAAGCCTTTTTTTTTTAATTCAGTAAGCACAACAATTGCCGCGGCGGCTGGCATTGAGCATGCCCACCATACACTCCCGACAAATGGCATGTCGATTGCAGGCCAAAATGAAGGAAGAACGCTCACCACAAAAGACCATGCATTCAGTATAGCGCCCATGGGCGCAAAATGGACATATAGTGTCCTCATGAGGAGGATGCTTGCAGTCAGGAGCATAGGGACAATCCTCAACACACATGGATGCAGAAACCATGTGATGGTAGTGATTGTGACAGAGACGATGGCGGCTACAGCCGAGTGCAACAGTGTCTGTAGCTGTGCAAAGGAGAAGGTAGCAGAGCGTTGGTACACTGTCCTGCTGGAGCACGGGGCCAGAGGAATGATTTTGAACATAAAAAAGACTGCGGACAGTTTGGTGTGGCAAGAAAATAACAGCATTATGTGAGAAATCAGTAACATCAGTCATGGCATGGACAATGATGCCGTTGTCCCCCGACTCCCGGTGGTCAGCGGTATGTACAATGGCCATGTAATGGCCAGGTCTGTGCACAACGCAGTCAGAGATGTGGGACGGAGGATTAAACCACTCACCTGCTCAAGTGCGTAGTTTAAGTCAGCGTCCCTCATTGCTACTTGTAGGACAGCAATGGTAAAGCCTCTTTCCCTGGTGTAATTACAATCCTCTGGCTGTAAGCAGAGGAGATCAGCATCAAGCTGAAGGGCGATTGCAAGGAAGTCTCATGGTGTATACAACGGGCGGTGGCGAATGTGACGACAGAAACTAATTGAAGTCAGACAACAGAGATTGGTGAGGATCTCAGGCTGGTGTGCCGGATGCTATAAATATGAAACACTTTCCTCACACATACCTTCACACACTCGACCTGACTTTCCCATATCATCGTCTATCAACCCAAGTTCTCATGACCCAAGTGAGAACAGAAAAGCAACCACATCTTACCACCGTGATAGTGAAGTGCTCACGTTGCTTCGATGATCTGAAGAACTCAAATGTTCCGTGACACAACAACACCTGCAAAAGAAATGATGCCAACCGCAGGGCCAATGCAACTGAGTTCAGGGAACTTCCCACAGCTGGGGGGAAAGGGAGACGGTGGGGTACATCAAGGTAACACCTTTCACTTCATATTGAAAGTCAAGATAATACTGCAATCAGCCAGACACTGCAAGATGGTTGTGCAATGAACCACTCATATTGACACTCCAAACATATGCACCATGAGAATTCACACAAAACACACCAAAGTACAGAGATGGAGACACCAGATTAGTGCAGCTCATAAACTTGAATGAAGGATCATATTATACAAAGCCCGAGTTCAAGTCACCAAGCGCTCATCAGCCCAACATCATATTATACAGATTCTGAGTTTTGAGGCACCAAGCGCTCATCAGCAAAGCACCCAGCAACCTCAGTCAGGTATGTAACTCTCTCTCTCTGGGCTAATGTCGCACAACCTCGCTGCCTCTCACTCTCTCTCTCTCTCTCTCTCTCTCTCTCTCTCTCTCTCTCTCTCTCTCTCTCTCTCTCTCTCTCTTTTTTCCTTTTTTCTTGTTTAACTCCCTCTGTCTCTGCTACTTTTTTTTTTTTGTAACTCCCTCAGTCTCTGCTGCTATCAGGATCACAACACTGGATACATCTGCCTCCTACACGTGCACTACTACTACTACTACTGTGCGGCTATGGCCGCCTGTCTTCCACAGCACAGCACTGCCCAGCAGGGCTCCTTAGCGCTCAGTCACTTTCGCAATAGCGCACAAGCATTCCACCTTCTTGCAAATAAGCAATCTGTTTGAATGAGGCTGGGCCAGTCTTCTTATTCACTTGGACTGGGCCTGTACTTCACTCGGCCTCTGCTTGACTTGGCCTGGGCCTTACTTTGGCAGGTACCAGTCACCCGCAGCCTGTTTGCTTTTGGAATATTGAGGCTCGGTACCTTCCAGACTTTTCTTGGAGTGCTGCTGCATTTATACTGTGGGACTGGATTTAACGGCCGGGTACTGGTTGAATTGTGACCTTTGTGGCCGTTGGGGTACCCCGACTTGATACTTTCTGTTATTCAGCGTACTCAGCGGCCTGATTTCGAGGTCCTCCGAGAAAGTGACAAACTTTACCGATCTACTATGTTGACACCTCTGCGATCCCTTTCATCATAGACAACGGTACCTGTTGCGGCTTCACTCGCAAGGCATTGAGGGGGAAATGGGAGAAATGAGTCAGGGTGGTGGGTTTGGG